ACTCTCATGGCTTCACGGGAGGTCCGATTAGGCGTGACCTGGGTGGGCGGGCGGGTGCGAATGTAACATGAAATGGAGCCACCCCCCTGGTCGCAGCTGAATGAAGTCAGAGGCTTCTTGTGACTAATGATCATCATGCGTGTGTGTGCGACAGAGGTCGATGCCTCCGCATCCAAGACGAGCAGAACGCCCCGGCAGAGCTGCATGGCCTCATGCTCTCCACCCCTCGGCACTGCCTCTTCTTAAGAGAATGCAACTCGCACTTCCAAGCACATCCATGAAGAAGCTGCGCCTTGTAGAAAGAGCTGCTCCGTGGGTTGGCAGAAATGGCATCCTCCAACTCCTGGCAGTCATATCTAAGAGGAGGCTCATCTATCTCTCCTCTTCGAAACATCAACTTTCGCCCAGATCTCAGAGGTACGCTCCTGCTTGCGGCCCAGGCGCATGTTGGTTGTTCGCATAAGCACACACCCAGTAGGCCACAGCCCCTCGCAGGTCGCGAACCGCAGCGTGTCGGCGCAGGCAGAGGAAGAGAAAAATAGGTTCAAGCTAAGCAGGCGAAACAAACCAGGCAGGATGCTGGTCCTCCTTGGTGTCCGCCAGCCTGGCGGCGAATGCAAAATTAACATTATAGTAGCTTCCATCTCAATTGTCCACGTTCTTTTCCATTTGATTCTCCATTACTGGAACAAGATTCAACATCCATGGACTAAAAGATTGAGTTATTGGAGTAATATGCAACACGGGTCAAAAGAAGGGTCGCAAGGCGCTGGCTAGCCCTCTTCTCTCCGGTTCGCTTGAAGCCTTTCCGCTACAGGAACACAAATTTCGAAGCAAGCTCATTTCACAAAACCATCATGGAATCATCCTATCTTCGCTCCCTTTCTCATTTGCTTGAGCTGTGAGTCTGCGTGCCAAGTGGCTCAACATAACTGCATCCTTTCCCACGGCGCCCAGCCGTCGCCGGCTTCAGGATCCATTGGTCGGCATGGTACCTGGGTTCATTTTTTCTCACAGCACCCCCGTCCAATTCTTTTAGTCTTGTGGACAAAAAAGGACTGCTGCCCCAGGTGCAAGTTGAACGTCTCGTAGGACAAGGCCCTGCCACGCTCCTCCCCGAATGTTCCGGTCCAGAAAGCCATCATGCTCTGCGCGAACAGCAAGAGTGACTGAATCTGTGAGATGGTAATGCCACTGCGCCTGGGTCCAAGGGCCAGACAGGGCTACTCTTCCGATCACAGATGGACATCGTGCGCCTAAATGCCTGCCAAGAATCTCCGTGGCAATTTCCAGAGGCGCCCTGGCTGCATGCAGCCTTGCGTAGTTGGTCATCACCAACCTGAGATCTTTCTTTTCACAAAGCATCCCAGGACCTCCCTATTTGCGAAGAGCATCAGAGCTCCAGCAAACCGTCTGCCTAGCTTCCTCTCTCAATTTCAAAGCTGACTCTGAATCTGAAAAAAGCTTGCAAAGATTGACTTCTCCGTTGAGGAGCCCGTCCCTGTGCTGCGGCACCTGGCTGCTCTCAAACTTCTCCGGCCCGCGGGACAACAGGACGTTGCCGTGCCACGGCTCCTGGGCCTGGGCAGCTTCCATCACAATAACTTGGGCATAAAAACCGTTGCAGCCGTGAAGGCTCCGGCTCTTTGCCGGAAGGCTCAGATGACCATGGATGCGGATGCCTGTGTCCCTGTCCGAACCCCAATCTCAACTGCTTCACCAAGCGGCGGAGGACGACTTCACTGCTGCTATGATGTCTCGTGAGGCGGGGAACCCAAACGCTGAGCAGTAACGAAATAACCGAACTGGTCTTCGCGAACTGTAGACCTGAAACGCCGTCGAGACACCTGCGGTGGATGTCGGCTCAAATGGCACACTCACGGCTCCCACGTTGGACACGTGAACGACAGCGCTGTGGCCATCTGGGGTCTCTGTGCAAGCTGCCATGGCGGCGAATTTGGAGCACTGCCTTGTGCAGCACCCCGTGTAATTTTAAATCAGGATTCGGGATCTCTGGCGTTTCTGCTTCATTGCTGTTTGTCTCGTGGCTGCTAAGGCTTAGGCACAGATCTGAATCTGAACAAGACGTTGGAATCAATGCGTTGAGCTATCAATCGCTTTGCCAGGGAACTCTGGACCAAAACATGTCGGCGAAACGCAACGCTGGCCCTCATGCAACCTCCCTGTCAACTTGAGCAGACATGCACCAAACGATTCACTTCTTGCTTGGGCGCCCATGGGGCAGGCTAGGCCGTGCCTTGGATAGCAACAGGGCAAGCAAAACCCTATACTGAGCCATCCTTGGCCAGCAACGATGACCCGGTGCAGACTGCAGACTGCGAACTGCAGCGCAGCATCACGTGCGCTGCATGGACCCTTCTCTAGGAACAACATCCGCTGTGCACATCACGTTCCAAACTTCAAGAAACTTCCGGGAAGGACTTGGCAGGACTGTAGATTAGATAGGCCCAAGCTGCTCCGCACCGTGCTGGACGGCGGAAATCTGCAGCTAGGACTCTGCAACTTCTACGGAAGGGACTCAGCCCGCAGCAACCGCGATTCCTCGCCTCCCCGCTTTATCCTCATCCACAACATGTTCTCGGCTAACAAGAAAGCAAGCTTCGGCTCTGACTCAAGAAGTCAGATTTTTGTTGCTCAACACTCTGCTCAGCGTCACGAAGTATAAAGCTAGGCAAGGATTCCTGACTGCTAGAGCTGGCACAAAAGGACATCGTAGGGCCTTGGTTG